TATATATATATATATTTTATACGCTTGTGTATTGTGAGAAAAAGGGTCAACGATAATATAATACACGTGCGATCTATATGATTGAAGATAATGCGTCGAGAGCATAATTCTTGTATATGTATACGCACAAGTAACCCTATATGTATTTGTAAGTCACAGTGATAAGAACTGGTAAGGGTCATTCCTTGACTTGCGTGAACTCAGTTTGCTTTCGCCGAGCTACGATCACACATCATGAAGTTCATAGGTATATACATATATTAAAATATTAAAAAATATAAATTCTGGTGTTTTAAATGAAATATTTGCAATTTTAATAATTATTATTGATAATAAGAAAAGTTTACTTTCTCCCTTGTTTCTAATATATTTTGTAAAAGTTTCCAATAATTGTGAAAAACATAAAGAAATTGAAGAAGACTGGAAAATGATAAGTCAGATAATATAAGGAAAGTCTTTCTTTTTTAGATTCCAATTTGATATCTGTGCTAGCACAAGGAAGAACATTATTCATATTCTTATTTTTAAATACCGAGATTGTCGCGCAAAGTTTATTCAGATCTGGGAAAGAATATACATATTCTTACAATGCTATATCGAGCACTGGTGTATTAGTGCCTTCCAATGTAGCTTCTTCATGGAATCTTCATGGAAAACTCGTAATTCATGCGGAAGATGACTTTATTACAATACAGGTATTTTTAAAAGAGCTATAATTTTCTTCTTTTGAGAGTAAAAATTAAGATGCAATAATTAAAGCGTTGTACGTTAACAATGTATTTCGAAGTCTTCGCTTTAATTACCGAGTCTTAATTTTTGCTCTCAATTGTCTATCTCTAATATATTTTTTATTAATCTCGAGAGTTCAATTTTATTCTTAAACTTATATATTTCTTCTTTTCGTTGTTTTATTTCCTTTTTTCCCATCATAAAAAACACGTATATGATTTTTTAAAAATTTTATTAGACATAATTATAATCTGATATAATATCTCAACTTTTTATATTAGTTGCAATCATTGAAGACGAATATGCATAATGGAAATGTAAAGAAAGTGATAGAAGACATTGATATCTACGATGATGCTGTAGAACTTTTGAAACCTTTCCGTTTATCGTACAACAAAGGTCTTATCGAGAACTTGAGCACTGAAACTGAGCCTGCATGGACGACGAATATAAAACGAAGCATAGCTGGAATTTTACAACTCGATCTTTTTAACTTGGAAAAAGAAATTGCATTTCATTCTAGTGAAGTAAATGACAAATATTTATAGATATACGCGAGTGAATATA